AAAAAAAAAAAAAAAAAAAAAAAGTCATTTTGATTTTCGAAGATACTTCTTTCAGAATGATACATACGTTACTGAAGTTTTGAATAACACTTAACTAATTATATTAAATTTTATATACTGCTCGATAAGCTTTTAAGCGTTTAAACCGTATTTTTTAAGTATTATACTGCCTAAATATGTATACATAACGTTTCATAGAATCTGTTGTCTCTCATTGTCCAGCCCAACTGATGAGTTCTGGTATTGAACGAAAGCTTTTTTGGTCAGTGACTTGTAGGAGAGGAAAGAGAAATACGAAGTGTTATTTTTACACACCTATGACTTCGAACATTAATTGACAAATTAAGAGGAATGTGTGAAAAAATTCATCTACAGCTAAATTTTATATCAATTTTAGGCTAACTGGTTTTCCAATATTTCGTCGCCTTACGACGTTTAAATTGTAACTTTTAAGGTTGATATAAGTTTCACACCAGTTATTATCTTTTTGCAATATGAAAACCTTTATCCTGCAGCATATTATCGATTAAGTCAAGTTAATTCGACGATCATCATCACAATTTCTTAATTAAGTAGGGAAATAACTTGATAATTTAGACGAAATAGTAATAATCGCACAACAACATGGTAAAATTCCAACACAGTCTCATAAACGTTATTACTCTGTAGAATGTTGCCTCAGCAAAATAAATAACAAAACTAAAATATGTTTTATGAAGATAACCAATAAGGTAGGTTACACAAGCTTTCCTTTTTTACACCAAGGAAACGTGTACAAACTGAAGCCAATATTTTCACTAAACATAGGGAAGCCGCACACTTAGTAATCACTATATCAGTGAAAATCATTAAGAAGTATTTACCAGTAGATATATATATATATATATACGGAAGTATTCACAATACAATTTGAATTATTTGTAATTAGAGTTGAAATTAAAATGAACTTCTTTAGTCGCTACAAGATTTAGAATTTAAAATACTTCGAGGATTTTTGCAAGCTCGTAACGATAAAATTATGTTTATTAATTAATATTAACTTCTGATCAAAACAAGTTACCTACTTAGATCAAAACTAAAAATGGCTAATTAAATATATTCTTACTTCCTTACTTATAAATATTAGAATGCATTGTTTCTTGAGTTAGATACCCTCACTGTTAATAACAGTTTCCCAATAATACCTCACAAGATTTAGCCGGCTGAGGAGATTTAAGTCAGTTCTTTATCCATATAAGCTAATAATGGAGAATACTTCCTATAACAAAAGTTTTATTATACTAAAAAGTGAAATTGGCAAAACTATATATATATATATATGAGGCATTCTAACCAATACTGTTATTCAAAGTAGCATTCAAGACAGAATAGAGTATATCTCACTTACATAACACACGAACATTATATAGTTACTAGCATCAAGCACTGTCGTAGATTTAATGTTCGTTGAAGAAGGTATCATCAGAAAACAAACCTTTCCGTAGCCTCCCTAGAAACATCTTGTGACTAATCAAAACCCATTAATCTACTCCAAAAGTGTAACTTTAGAGAATCCTGTCATCTGAGATAAACTGCTATACGTGTTACTGTTTGAGTGTGGAATCAAGTATGACATTACCAAGAGTACAGTCACAATCAATGTTTATGAAAATGATATAAGAGACATCAAATTAATAATTTTATATGGTTACTATTTTCTAATCAAAAGGAAGTGACTACCAGACCATAAAGGTTAGCTATAGGGTCTTCAGATATCCAGACATGATTATCTGGTCGCAAATCTAGTAACTTATACTAAAGAAAACAAGAAAGTTAAAATAATTTATATTCTGTGGTAAGAAATGTAATAATCAATATCTGCACATGAAATAACGAACGAACTCTTGAGGGTATAATTTTATTTGGCTTCAGGTGTAGTAACAGTTTGACATTGGGTCTTTGTTACCAACAAAGTCACCAGTGCGAAAACATTAAATTAACTTTCATTCCACTGGTTGTTAATGATTATTTTTCATACCACCACAGGCTTTAAAAGGTTCTAGTTGGATAAAGATCGTTTTCTCTTGAAGACAGGTGACAGCAACAACAAAAAACATCGTCGACTGACATGGTAAATCTCCACTCCTTCCTCTTACTATTATTCATTTCTAGTTTTATAGGTCCATTGAATTTGACTGTAGTCTTCTGTCAACAGTTTATGTACACACACATCGGAAGAAAAGGAGACGAAACCTAACTGGAAGCTAATCAGTAATACCAGTGCTAAAATTATTGATATGTTTAATCTTCCTATGCAAAGATTACGTTAAGTCTTATTTTTAAATCAATAAGTTCCTTTCCTCCAACAGAAAATAAAGTTTGGAAAAATATTTAATGAATACAAAACCATCCTTGGGTTACAAACACTGTTTCAACGGGCAGAGATTAAAACTGTGTAGAGATATCTATGGTTCTCAATTTCCTTGTTATCTCTTACCCGTAAAAATAGACATCTACTTAATTTTTCTTCGAAACATTCACCGTTGTGTGATTACTTTATCAATATGTGTCTTATGAAACACTGCCATCACTGAAAATAAGTCTTTCTTTAGTAATTCTGTAACGAATATGAACTAATATGAGTTTGTTTGTTTTGTGCAGCTGAAGAAGCTTGACATAACAAAACTGTAATTTCATCGAAATGTAACAACTCAAGTCAATTCTGGTAACATATTAAAGAAGAACAACTAATAAAGTGCTTTAAAAATAACACTCGTTGACAATGTAATTTGGACTACAGAATTCTGTTACTAGGCAATTGTTTTCATTCTCTACCGTCGATGTTAAATATTAAAACAGGTGATTCAGTTTAAGAATAATGGTTATTTGGGTCTAAGTAACAAAATTATAAATGTAAATAATAAATAAGTAAGGTACTCTAATTTTGCAGTATTTTTATTTATACTCTTCAAACTATTTTAGAAGAAATAATAGAGCCTTTGTAGCATCCTCTCGCACTTCAAGCTAGTATGTTTAGCATCCTCTCGCACTTTAAGCTAATATGTTTAGCATCCTCTCGCACTTTAAGCTAGTATGTTTAGCATCCTCTCGCACTTTAAGCTAATATGTTTAGCATCCTCTCGCACTTTAAGCTAGTATGTTTAGATTTCTGCCTGCTTTACAGCATACATAAGTACAATTTTTGTAAAGTTTCTCATATTTGTGTTGTAAGTGTTAACAGTGTTGAATAATTATTTTATGAGGATCAGTGGAGTAACAATTTCAAACCGATGTACATTCTATCCTCATTCTCTTTTAACGAGATTTCTTGTTAGTTGCACAAGATAAGCTGAAGCTTATTCAAAAGTTTTGGGGGCTATAAATCCCCTGGGACTAGAATATTCATTCCCCCCCCACACACACACACACACATATCCAATCCTAGTAATGTTAAATAAATAAAATAGTCCGTTGAATTATAACGTAACTAAAATAGACACTATTTGTTCTACAACAGAGGGGGGAGTGAATGTGAGTAGGGTCTCAAAAGTGTTGACTTTTTTATGTATCTTGCAAGTCGCCCTAGATAAATTGGATTTGGATATTATCAAACGAGCCGCTGGACATAAAAACCATTAGTTTTATACATATATATATATATATATATATATGTATCTCATAAGCAACCATTGCTGAGTCTGATGAGGCTGGCCCGTATGACAACTGTT